TATCGCATGTTATTGCTCCGATATTGAATGTTTATTGAAGGTTTATTGATTGTTTACATGTTTATTGAAGGTTTATTGATTATTTACTGTATGTATTTCGCATGTTATTGAATGTTTATTGAAGGTTTATTAATTGTTTACTGCATGTATTTCGCATGTTATTGAATATTTATTGAAGGTTTATTGATTGTTTACATGTTTATTGAAGGTTTATTGATTGTTAACTGCATGTATTTCGCATGTTATTGAACCGATATTGAATATTTATTGAAGGTTTATTGATTGTTTACTGCATGTATTTTGCATGTTATTGAATGTTTATTGAAGGTTTATTGATTGTTAACTGCATGAATTTCGCATGTTATTGAACCGATATTGAATATTTATTGAAGGTTTATTGATTGTTGACTGCATGTATATCGCATGTTATTGCTCCAATATTGCATGTTTATTGGGGGCAAACGTACCACTCAAGTAAGATTTAAGGAGTTATATTTAAGGGGGAAAACAGTCCTTATTATTTCTTTTAGTGGGAAGAACAACTGTTAAGTATAATTTCCTATTCAATACGGCTTCCTTATGGTTGGTGTAATTATGGAGTGATGTGTATTGCATGTCTATTGCGTGTATATTGCATATCTATTGCGTGTATATTGCTTGTTTGTTGTGTGTATATTGTTTGTCTGTTGCCTGTGTATTGTTGTTTATTTCATTCGTAAGCAATAAACAATCAATACACACGCAATACATGTACGATATGCACGCAATAGACAAGCAATATAGATGCAACAGACATGCAATATAGACGCACCAATATACATTACTTTTATGGAACATAATTTAGTGTTTTGGTTTGTTTTGAAACAAAGTTGAGTTTTTGTTATCGTTTTCAAATTTTATAAGTCAAAATTATATTTTTGGAGTTTTGGGGCGTAAAGAATGTCACAAGGAGTTCCTACCAATTTTCGGTGAATTTTTTGGATTTGTATTTAATTTATTATGAATTTTGTAAGTTAAATCCTAGAAATTATTATTAAATGGTATGGAGTGACACATGGCGAAAGCTGAATGGGCGCGGTCAGTGTGGCTGACTGACTGTCCTCCAGTGATTGCACCACTGTACATTTTGATCCTTGTTTTGTTTTGTTTTTTTATAAAAAAATTCGTAAATAAATAATTAAAAATCAGAAAAATACATTGAAAATTGTTACAAACTCCTTATGGCATTATCTTCAATTACAAAGGCAATTGGGGCAATACGAAGACAATTAAGGGCAATACAATGACAATATGAAGGCAATTGGAGGCTATATAATGGGAATACTAGGGCAATAGGAGGCTATACATTGGCAATACGAAAACTCCAATAGTCCATCTGAGAGAGAGAGAGAGAGAGAGAGAGAGAGAGAGAGGAGGAGG